TTATAAATCACTGCCAATATGCACAACAAAGTGAAGGAAATGCATAACATTGAGGTGGAGAAGAAGTAAATTTCTCTGATTTTACCTAATAAAAACAACATTATCTCTTTTCATGATTTAAAGTAAAAGGGCAACATTTAACTCAGTAAAATCAGATTTATTTTAGAAGAGTAAAAAAAGATGGATAGAATTTCCATAAGTAGTCAAATCCAAACTTCTCTGTTGCTTAACTGGTTGCCTTTATTCTCTCTAGATATTCCCTAATGAGAACAATTGTGTCATACAACCCAAATTAATCAAATTAAATGTGAGCACTGGAGAGAATATACTAAACCTCCAGAAACAACAGGGCAAGAAATTAAAGTTATTGCACATATATCGTTTTCAAAATTCTAGAGAATATGCCACCAATGCTTTCCAAAAGTTTCTCTCCTGTAAACAAAGCAAAGACAGGATGATAAAAAGAAATCCAGATCAGAATATGATAACAGTTGGGAAAAACTGTTATTTTTATACTTAAAATGATACTAAAGCAACCTTTTATACTTAGAAAAAACTAGCTTGTTGAATCTGCTTTTCTTCTATTTTCAGAATAAGAGAGCTGGACAGGTTTTATGCTTGATTTCAGTTGTTTTTTTTGTTGCAGGTTTTAAGGTGAATTTGGTGAAAGGGAGGAATAAAGGAGAGAGATGAAAATCAGAAACGAACATCAAAAAGTGCAAAAGGAGAAGCGAAAAGTCACTCCTCAGCGACAGTTAACGCTGAGGGGCAACCAAAATGGGCGTGAGTGCGGGGAGAAAAACAAGACACGCACTTACCGTGAGCGGGATTTTACCGCGGAGAGGTATACCGCATGAGCGACACTTAATGGGCTTGCGACCTAAATTTTTTGTAATTACGAAATGGTATTTAAGCTTTAGGGGTTACTAGGGTTAGGTATCTTTGGCAGAAAAAGAGAAACGAACAAAACCACTCTCTCTTCACCCTTTGACGAGGATCTTGGATGCGGAGGCTTCCTATTAACCTTTTAGGGTTTATTCTTTCATTCTTTCATGTATTCATCTAGGTTCACCATGAATATGGTGAAACTAAAAATCTGTATGTTTGTTGGGGAATCATGTAATCTTTTGAAGCTCCATATATGGATTTGTTTTTTACATTCTTGAATAAGACTTATTGCTTTCTTTCATATTAGTTAGGGTTTTTCCTCTTTGCTTAATGCTTGCATGTTAACTCATTCGATGCAATGACATGATTATTGGTTTTGCCGATACGGGCAACGTACGGGAAGTCTAGATCCGGGGAGGGAATTCTCCCAAGATTGATTATTGGTTGTGTTAAGCTCCTGCACTTATGAACTGATCATTAGGAATGCTAGGAATTGTATGAACTCGTGATTAGGGAAAAGCCTTCTAGAAAGGTACATTAGAGAGTGGCATTAACAATGATGATTTGATTGTTGAATTCCTAAAATATATGAGAGTGGATAAGATGAAATTGACCCCCAACAACATAGTCAACTATTTCATTGAAAGTGTTATCTTGCTTTTTGCCATTGATCAAAAAAAAAAAAAACTTCTGCATTACATATTTAATTTTCGTCTTTTGCATATATAAAAATCCAAATATTTTGTCTTTAAGTCTTAACTAATCAAGAAACCACACAACTAAACTAGGCAGTGAGTCCTTTGGGAAGAACGATACTTGGTCTTACCAAGTTTATTACTTGAACGATTCGGTCATACTTTGCGATTGGAAAACAAGTTTGGACATCATAATTGGGGTTCATAAATTGTCCATCAAGTGTTGGGACGTTGCGGGGACTCGTGTTTAACTGGTTAAATTTGTGTGATTATTGAGTATACTTTGACTATTTTTTTATTTTAATTTAAATTTCGAATTTTTTATTTTATTTTATTTTGCTGTTTTAGTTTTTCTGTTTCTGTTTTGATTTTATGAAATTTATTCTTCTTTATATCTTTTTTGCTAACCAAAATCTTTTCTAGGGTTGTGTCTTGTGCATGCGGAGGCATCGAACTAGGAGCAAATGAAAAAACAGAACTTTACTTGAAGGATTAGAAGACAGTAGAGGGGAGGAAGAAGCAGAACAGCTAGAGAACGTTTCCCTCCTCCGGAAACTCTATTAAACCATCACCACCAAGGTTCTGTTCATAGCACAAAAAATAGGGAGAACAATAATATCAGAAGAACTCTTGTTGATTACACCAATATAGCTGGACCTCAGCACTTTAACAGCATAGCTAGACCTAGAGTCAATGCAGCCAATATGGAGGTCAAAACCAGCACTGATCCAACTGGGATGTGAAAAGAATCAATTTAATGGGTTATCTCATGAAAGCCCATATGAGCACCTTCTTACATTCAATGAAATGCAAACACAGTCAAAATTAAATGGCGGGGGAAAGAAGGAAAGAGAGAAGAAGGAGTTTTGTGTAAGGGAGAAGGGGGACACCTACAAAACCCGGAAAGGAGAAGAGTGGGGGGGTGGGACATAGAGGTGAAATGAACAGTATCTTATCTAACCTCCAATTTTAACAAGACTTTATAAAATTAATAAAAGCAAAAAATATTGCCTCAACATATAAATATATGGTATTAATATAGTTATCAAAACTAAATAATCATAATAATAAAATATATTTAAAACAATTACCAAAACTACAAAACGATTACAAAGAAAACTTTAGTGCACAAACAAAGTTGTTGTCACCCTACTACTCCCACTTAGGATCAAAACAGTCCAGTGACTAGGACTTCCTGCCATTTTCTCCCCCATCCCATTCCTTTCTATATGAGTTGAATGGTTGGTAATATATTAGAATACCTTCTTACTAAACCCCATTGTCAATGCATACACAATCACATCACAACAATGAATTTCTCTTTGAAATTCTCACAACATCATCACCACACATATCCACAAAATATCATCACCTCAATAAATCATCATAATACTCATACACATATATAAAATCTATTTTAAATCTATTTCAAATAGTCAAAGAAGACAGACAGAGTCACACATACACACTGACACTCAGAGGTGGTGCCTAGTGCCAACCTTCTCGCAAAAGGTGACTCTAAGTGTCAGTCATGGCGCTCAACGACATTCTTCACGCAACAAGTGGCGCTCAGCGGCACTTTCTGGCACTCAGCGCCCTATAGTTAAATGCTCCAGACCTACAATACAAGGATGATGCTCAATGACGCCCTAACGCTGCTTAGCACTAAACCCTTCACAAAATGGACGCTCAACAACACCCTAGCTTCGCTTAGCGCTATACCATTCGCAATATACGACGCTCAACTGGCGCTCATCAGCCTGGAGCTAAAATGCTCTCAGACATGCCAAATGACCTGGCGCTTAGCGCCCCAATTTGCCACCTCTCAACAGTGCATCATAACACAATATATGAAAACTTATTGATTTGGGAAATTGGTACCTGGTCAAATGATCAAATTGGTATTCCCTTCTTAGTACTTTGGTTAAAAACAGTTTTTAATGTCAAGACACATACCAATTGGCTTAATTGACCAAATCCTAAGTTTCCCAATCAACACAACTCAACCAAGACAATTTAAACAATACAAACATCCAATATTCCAAATTCAACATATCAATTTCATCACACCATTCAATAATGCAATTACAAATTTTAAGATATCTATAGCATTAAAACAATGCAATTAGCTTCCCTTACCTGAGAGACAAAAGAATTTGCTCTAAGGATCCCAAAACCTTTCAAGCTCACAAGATGTCCTATTTATACTTAGGAACAACACAAACACGATCAGAACACATGATTAAAATCACTGATCAACAAAGACTTATATAGATGACTAAAAAGACGCATGCAAGTGAAACAATACTCACATGCAACTGACACCAATAAAGACCAAGAAAAAGAGATGAAACTCAACTTATGCAAACTAAGAAATTGATCTGTCCAAATTGAAGAGTTCGCTGCAAGGTTTAATCCTAAGGTCTTGGTTTCAATTAGACGAACAAAAAGAAGTCAAATAACTCTAGAAAAATGGTTTCTAGAGAGATGGTGTGTTTTAAAATAATTAAACTTGTTCATAAAAAAACTATTTATATTAAAACTTTTTAATATTAAAATGATCAAATTGGATTATTTTTAAACTATCACTTCTAAAATGTCATTTTCTAGGTCTTTACATGTTTAAAGAATTTTTTATTGGTAATGTGAATTGGGATGATATGCCCCAAAAATAGAAGTGCTACATGATTTCTTTATTTGTAGTGTAAATTCAAGATGGTATAACCTTTCATGACCCTTTATTGACTGGTAGATAAAGTTTTTTTTCAATGATTCTAAATTGAGATGGGACACCTTGATGATCTTAATGGGTACTAGAGTATGAAGCTTTATTCATGATGTAAAACGTGGACGTTAACGTTGAGCTTCCTTGGTTCTAATTGGGAAATTTCTCTATTGATAATGAAAAATTAAAATTGTATGTGTGTACGTACCTTCAGTTGAACTGCAGCGTAAACTCTTTAATCAGAGTGAAGACATGTTGAGATGGTATGTTATATTATAGCCTCGAGGATCTAAATATAACTGCAATTTGAATTTGAGCTTCATTGTCTAAATTCCCCTGAATTCAATTGCAGAATGAATTCTTTATTAATGATGTAAATTCAGGAGGACTAAATTTTATTTCCTTGCTGACCCTAAATACCCGTAGTATGACTTGATTCATAATCTAAAAGTGTGATGATAGTGTATGGATTGTGCGTTCATGATCCAAAATGCAATTGCGGCATGGTTTTTTATTCAGAATTTTAAATTCTTATTCTGTCTAAAGGAAGGAATATTTATGAAAATTGAAAGTTAGAATAATTTCAGCTTGGATATTATATAGATTATTCAAATACCATCATATCATTAATTTTTTTTCCTCCTATAATTAGAATGCAGTACGTTCTTGAATTGTAGGAAGCATACTGAGTTATGTATATACGTTTAATGCAGGGCATTGATTTTCCTGGAGGAAGAGTAGAATTCGTCCCTGAAATGAAGTTTATATCAGAATCAGTTAAAGAGAGAATACCCTGCTACCGTGTCCTTGATGATAATGGGCAGCCGCTCGTGGGTCATAATTTTGTGCAGGTTTTGACATCCTCGACCTACCATTTCACAATTTTTTGCTTGTTCAGAGGGAAAATATATGGGAAGTATATGGAAACGAAACTGATGGATATCAATAATATTAGGTCAGCAAGGAAGTTGCTGTGAAGATGTACACTGACATGGTTACTCTCCGATCTATGGATACTATCTTCTATGAAGCACAAAGACAAGGTAGAATATCGTTTTATGTGACGGCAATTGGAGAGGAGGCTATTAATATTGCTTCAGCTGCAGCTCTTGCCATGAACGATGTTGTTTTCCCTCAGGTTATACGTGCCACAAAGAAAATAGTTTTTTAAACTGTTGAATTTATATTCAGAATCCTATGTAATGATTTTTCTCGTACTTCATAGTTTCTGCTATTTGGTTGGTTTAATTAAGTTAGAAAATGATTTATCAAAAAATGAAAAATTTGGTTGCATGCAGTATAGGGAAGCTGGAGTCTTGTTATGGCGTGGTTTTACTCTGCAAGAATTTGCAAACCAGTTATTTTCTAATAAATATGATAATGGGAAAGGAAGTCAGATGCCAGCACATTATGGGTCCAAAAAGCACAATTACTTTACAATAGCATCAACTATTGCGTGAGTATTAAAAGCTTTGATATACACAGCTTTGATATTTATTTCTCTATGTATTTGTCCATCTATGCCTCTTTGCATCATGAGTACGAAAATTACATGATGAAATTTTACCTTGGTCTATAGTACACAAATTTCTCATGCTGTTGGCGCTGCTTATTCCTTAAAGATGGATAAAAAGGATGCATGTGCTGTTACTTACTTTGGTGATGGTGGATCTAGTGAGGTAAGTTTACTATAATAGAAGATTCATTTCTCCCTTTATTGAAAAATAAATTTTGTCGGGAATTAGATCAACCAAACATAGATCAAGAACATATGCTCTATTCTTAAAATTTCTTAATGCATTCCGCCAGGCAATATATTAGCACTTTAGGATACAATTTTTTCGCACTCAAATATCTATTTCTAGTTTTGGAGTGTTCGTACTTTTTATTTGATCTTATTTATTTTCCAGTTATCTCATTCTTGTAAATGGAGGCAGTACCATGCTTGTCATATTCTTATGCGTTGTATCATGACAGGGAGATTTCCATGCTGCTTTAAATTTTGCAGCGGTTACGGAGGCCCCGGTTATTTTTATATGCCGGAACAATGGATGGGCTATTAGTACCCCGATTTCAGATCAGTTTCGAAGTAATTTTCTTTTCTCTCTATGGCAATTTCTTCCATTTGGTCAGGTTTAGCGTTGTCTTGCAATATCTATGGGCATATTGTGTACCAGGTTATTTGTTTATTATTGTTTATGCATAGGTGATGGTGTAGTCGTGAAAGGACAATCATATGGAGTCCGTAGCATCCGAGTAGATGGCAATGATGCCCTGGCCATCTATAGTGCTGTTCAAGCTGCTCGTCAAATGTCAATCACTGAAGAGAGACCGATCCTAATAGAAGTAAAGTGACAATTGATAACCTTTTAAGGCAAATCTTTGTCTTGGTCAAAAGAAATTTGGTAGTGTACAATATTAAGGCATTTTAATGACAGACCAATGTTTATTTGATTCCTTTATCAGGCTCTTACGTACAGAGTGGGACACCATAGCACATCAGATGACTCCACCAAGTATCGTCCAGCAAGTGAGATTGAATGGTGGAGAGTGGCACGGGATCCTGTGGCTAGATTTAGAAAGTGGCTTGAAAATAATGGTTGGTGGAATGATCTGGCAGAGTCAGAGCTTATAAACAATTTGAGACAACAGGTGATAAACATAATGTTTCTACTAGAATAGAATCCACACTAATACATCACAATGCCCAACAAATTCCTGTGCCAAAAAGATAAGCCAAAACTTACTCTAATCGTCAGTCCTATTAATAGATGGAGTCTTAAATAACTTCTCAATATATGTTTACTTAATTGTCCTTAGCTTTGACTCTAATAATTTCCCTATCAGTGTCCTGTACATGGAGCATGATCCTTGGCTCGGTTGGGTAGACTTCTGTATTTATCCTTTTTCCAGAAGTATTTTGTTAGTGGACCTGTTTTAACAAATTTACCTTGATACCCCAGGTCTGTGGTATATAAGAACTTGGTTTGTAGTGGGCTCATATTGCAGTTTTACCACCATAATAATGAATACTGAAACTATATTTATTGGATTTCGATATGATAGCTTTTAGAAATGATTCCTTGAATAATTAAACATGCCAAAGGTATGGAGCTTAGTGCCTTTGATAAAATTAGTTTGGTGGAACTGCAAAAAAATTCCACCTAGGATCTTGTATTTCTATTGTCAAATTCGTGAATACTGAATCCGGGAAGTATACTCTTTGCATATTGTTGTAGGCAACTCTAAAATTTTCTTCCTTAATTGGTGACAATTCCTGGAACCATTGGAAATATGATAACTTGGTTTATGATCACAGCTGAAGCTGAATTTCTGCTTTGAATTTGATTTAGGCGGCTCTTACAAGTATTATTCAATTGTTGTTCTAACTAATAGTTTTCCTACTACAGCTTCTGCATACAATTCAAGTTGCAGAGAGTGTAGAGAAACCTCCACTTGAAGAAGCTTTTCGTGATGTTTATGATGTTCCTCCATCCAATCTCCGTGAGCAGGAGCAATGGCTGAAGGAGATTGTAAAAGAACAACCACAAGAGTATCCAGCAAATATTTCTGTGTAGGCTTCAATATGCTAAAACAAATTACACTGCTTCTAAGTTACATGTCCTGATTTTCCCTAGACTAATTTCAGTTTTTCTTTCATTTTTATGTTATACGTAAAATATTACAATTCAATTNAAGATAAGCCAAAACTTACTCTAATCGTCAGTCCTATTAATAGATGGAGTCTTAAATAACTTCTCAATATATGTTTACTTAATTGTCCTTAGCTTTGACTCTAATAATTTCCCTATCAGTGTCCTGAACATGGAGCATGATCCTTGGCTCGGTTGGGTAGACTTCTGTATTTATCCTTTTTCCAGAAGTATTTTGTTAGTGGACCTGTTTTAACAAATTTACCTTGATACCCCAGGTCTGTGGTATATAAGAACTTGGTTTGTAGTGGGCTCATATTGCAGTTTTACCACCATAATAATGAATACTGAAACTATATTTATTGGATTTCGATATGATAGCTTTTAGAAATGATTCCTTGAATAATTAAACATGCCAAAGGTATGGAGCTTAGTGCCTTTGATAAAATTAGTTTGGTGGAACTGCAAAAAAATTCCACCTAGGATCTTGTATTTCTATTGTCAAAGTCGTGAATACTGAATCCGGGAAGTATACTCTTTGCATATTGTTGTAGGCAACTCTAAAATTTTCTTCCTTAATTGGTGACAATTCCTGGAACCATTGGAAATATGATAACTTGGTTTATGATCACAGCTGAAGCTGAATTTCTGCTTTGAATTTGATTTAGGCGGCTCTTACAAGTATTATTCAATTGTTGTTCTAACTAATAGTTTTCCTACTACAGCTTCTGCATACAATTCAAGTTGCAGAGAGTGTAGAGAAACCTCCACTTGAAGAAGCTTTTCGTGATGTTTATGATGTTCCTCCATCCAATCTCCGTGAGCAGGAGCAATGGCTGAAGGAGATTGTAAAAGAACAACCACAAGAGTATCCAGCAAATATTTCTGTGTAGGCTTCAATATGCTAAAACAAATTACACTGCTTCTAAGTTACATGTCCTGATTTTCCCTAGACTAATTTCAGTTTTTCTTTCATTTTTATGTTATACGTAAAATATTACAATTCAATTATGAAAACTAAAATAAAAATACTATAAATAAATTTCACTAATTGATTAAATAATTTGTATTTAATAGAATAGTAAGTAATTCATAATTTTTTTTGTAATTAAATTTGTTATTATTAATTTTTTGAAAAATAAAATTGTTACAATAGAAAATATTTTTTATCAATAATATAACAACAATGATATTAATATTTTAAAATTTTAAACTTGATCTTATATTTTTCCTTTTTTTTACAAACCACTATAAAAAAATATTCAAAATTATATTACGACATTAATATCTTTAAATTTTTCCTAAATAATATTTTTTAATTTTTTAAACGGACATAGTAGAATATTATTTTTCAAATGAAGAGGAGCAGAATTCTCAACTGTGGCTTTTTTTATGTCTGATATTAGCAACCTCTTTGAAATCTGACTCACCAGAAATCAAATTCTGTGACGATTATTTTTTATTTATTTTTTATTTTGTAAAGGAAAAATTAAATATCAAACTTTAAAACTTAAAACTTAAAGTAAGAAAAATAATTTAAACAATTAAAATGGTGATATTAAATTTTAATTTCTTCAAGAGAAAAAAGACTAAATAATTTATAAGAGGAAATAAATTTTAGTTTCGTTATATAATTTTTTTTTAATTTTCTTCTTTCTCTTAATAATTAAAAAAACAGTAAACTCAATATTTTAATCGATTATTTTAAATTATTTTTTAATAATTATAATCTTAATTTTTATTTTTTATTTTTATTTATATTTTTCCTCCTATTTCAGAAAAAAAAATCAGAAAATTTTAAATAATTTCATTTATGTACCATATGACCATCCAATCCATGTTATGAATCGAACACTCTATTTTTGCACACGAGTTCCCTTCGTGATCGAACTACTGAGAGATGAGATTGAATGGTCAGGTGTAAAAAGGAGGGATTAACGCTAATTCTGACCAGTTTAAGATAAAATGTAATTACTATCAATTGGGCTAAAATTAGACATGACTAAACAAGAACCTACTCCGAAATCTATATATATAGGTAGAAGGAATCAAACAACCAGTAAGATCCCATGGAGATGATCAAAACAATGCAGCACCAAGTGCAAGAGATGTAGTGTAGGCATGAAAAGGAGTTCTCAACTTTAAGTGCTGAGAACGCGATTGTCTTCCAGGAGCAAACCGCCCAACAATCTATGTTAGACGGCCTAAGTCAGCCCGTCCCCAACAAGCAGAGGGAGGAATCGTTCAAGATAGTGCAATAAAGGAGCATGGGGGCCAGAAATGGGCAACCCCTCTATGTAGATGGTCCACGCGACGATTTGTTGCCTTTTACTTCAAAAATCATACAGATGCCCATGCTCGAGCCATGAGTGCCTTCAACCTTCGAGAAGTACGACGAACCAACTGAGCTTGACGAGCATTTGAGGATGTTTGTCAATCTGATAACCTTCTATATAGCAAGTGATCTTGTATGGTGTAGATCCTTCTCCATATCTTTGAATGGAGAAGCCTTGACGTGATTCAACTTATTGCCATTGAACACCATAAACAACTTCTCGAGTATGCACTCCATATTCGAAAAATAGTTTGCAGCAAGCCGAACGCAGAACTTGACCCTAACCTTGATAAGTATCAAGCAAGAGAAGGACGAGTCCCTTTGGACCTTCATGCACTGTTATGGTAGGACCTCACGACAAATTAAGGACCTTAGCCAAGAGTTTGTGTTGTAGCATGTGGTGACGACCTTAAGACTAAGGCCATTCGCGGATAGTTTATATATGTGGCCAGCTAAGATAATGGAGGAGCTGACGGAGAGGGTTGTAGAACACATGAGAATAGAGGACATGCGAGAATTCTACATGAACTAGCAAGAGGCGCAATGAGTGAGAAGAGGAAGGAAAGAAACCGAACAGTGGAAACGATAGTGGTTCACGTCCGAAAGACCTCCCTCGGGACCATGTCTTAACCAGTATACTCCTCTCAATTCACTCAAAGCCAAGATCTTGGAAAAGGCACACTCTATTGACCTCCTTCTACTAGTAAAGAAGAAGTTGACCCCACACAATGCTGACGATAAGAAACATTGTCGGTATCACCAAAATATGGGGCACACAACGGAAGAGTCTACAACTCTCTGTGACAAGATCAAAGAGTTTATCTATGTTCGTCATCTCCATAAGTACTTCCAGATTGAGTAGTTGGATAGGAGTCCTCCTCGTAGAAGAAGCTCTAAGAGAAAAAAAATGATCATAATGTTCCTTAATGACCAAGCGACGTCAAGACTCTCGACGCCGAAGTAGGAGCAGAAGTAGAAGTCATGATCGCTTATTGCACGGTCATGTTAATATGATATCAAAATAATTCGTAGGCGACATATATTCATCGTTGACCCAAAAGAGCTATAGTTTCCATGTCGCGCTTAGCAATGAAGTTCCTATCTAATTGTTAAGAGATCGGAAAGTGTACCGAATCATATCAAGTAATAAATATGATAAGACCAAGTATCGTTTCCCAAGAGACTCACAGCCTAAACAGTTATGTGATTTCTTGATTAAATATGACTTGAGAACAAAATCTTTTGGTTTAAAATGCAGAAAATAAACATGAATGCAAGTGTTGATCAATTGACAATAAGAACACACAGGTGATTAGTTTGTAAAATATGGAATGATTATGTTGTTGGGGGTTCGACTTATCCTATCACCTCTCACGTATTTATGAATTCGTCTTCTTCATTAATGTTAATGCCACTTTCTAATTTACTTTAGACCCGATGTCTCGGCAAAGAAAGCATATCCTTAATTACTAGTTTACAATGTCTTGTCTCCCTAGCAATTAGTTCTGCATTATAAACGCACAGAAACTTAAAGGCAACCAACCGTTATATCCCTCTGTCTAGGCAATACTACTTTTGGGAGAGATTTCCCAGATCTAGATTTCCCCATATGTGTCCATATCGACAAAATCAATTATCATGCTATGAATGAGTTAAACAAAAATGGAAAAGAATGAGATAGAAAAACCCTAAAAGTTCAAGATAGGAGCTTCCGCCTCCCAATCCGCCTCCAAGAGAGTGTTTCTGCGCCTCTTCTATCAAGAGATACCAAGCCTAGGACGTCCAAATCCTTAAATAGAGCACAAAAAAAGTCCAAGCCCACGAGACTGACGCTTAGCGCCCCAACTTAGAAATGTTTTTCTAGTTGATGGAAGTGTGAAATTAGTAATTTCACGGGGGTGCATCAGTAGGAAAAATAATTAAATTAATTTATTTAATTATTTGTGATTTTAATTAATTGTTGGTCAATGAATTTGGTTGACTTTGTGCATGATGGTGACCTGCGTATGGTTGTGATGGTAAAATTGTGAGAGCAAGCGTTCTGTCATTTCCTTAGAATTTTTGTCGAATCGATGGTGTTCGTATTGCGATACGATAGTGTGTTGAGTCTTTGCGGAGACTGAGATTCGAGTGTCACCCTTTCCTCGTGCGCGGGGACTAGAGAGGGTTGGATGTCTCGCCCAAAGACTTCGGCTCGTGTGAGTATAGTGCTCGGTGGGTGCGCCTAACCGAAGTTTTTACTCGAAATTCCTTGAGGAGTCGGGGAGATAGGTCTGAAGTTGCGATGGAAGACGGCTCAAATCGCCCTGTTTTGCGAAACAGGTTTGGTACGACAAAATTCAAGGAAACAACAGAAGCTTGTGTAAATGATTTGAGTTGTGAGTTTAATACTATGATGTATTGTAATCTTGTGACTTTGATAGTTTGGGTGGTGATGATCTAAGTTATGAGTTGAATATTGTGTTGTGTTGTAAGGTTGTGACTTGGATAATCTATGTTATGATATTTTGATATTGAAATTATATGTTATGTTAGGTTCTTAGTTACTCACCCTTTCCTTTTGTGGTTGTGGTTCCACCTACGATGATCGTACTTGTACGGGAGTAGATGGCGTTGCAGATGAGGTAGAGATGGAGTACCACGACGAGAGTTATGGGAATAGCTATGGGGAA